TATGTAGTTCGTTTGGTTTATAACATGTTTATTATAATAATTGGTACTCTTGGGGTGCTTTCCAAGACAATGTAGTTACTTCGATAGGTTGACTAAGACTAATTCTGAGTGATTCTATATATTTAATGATTTTCACAAATTGATCTTAGTCTTGAATCTTCGAGTATGTTCCAATTTAATAATAAAATATTTGAAATATCATTTAATTGCGCATAAATTATTAAATCATTGATTGGTTGTACTACTCTAATATTCATCTATAGTATTGCATAAAAAAAATATCGATTAAATTAAAATCTATTTTTATAATAACTTTTGTATATATTTAAATTATTATATATTCCGCATAAGGTTTAAAAAAAACAAATACTTCATTTTTAAATATTATTTTTTCATAAAACAACTTATGTAATTAGATGAAATTGCATAACAATTTTAAAATATATAAACGCTGCGAAATTACGTAATATTCAACCGCATGCTTTATCAACCGAGTTCTTTATCATCATTATTTAATTGTATCACTATTTCAACAAGTTTTGTAAACAAATGCGACAAAAATTATCTAAATTTTGGTAAATGTGCCATAATAGGCTCACGGCTTTATTCCTAAATTACAGAATGGTCAAATATTGCATAAATTATAAATTATAAATAAATAAATATTTTGAATAGTCTTCTTTCAGGTTATAAAGAGTTAAATTTTCCTGCTATTACATCTTCTCATGTGCAACAAAATTGGAATTGAGGCAACCAATTCGTTAAAATTAAAGCTTTCCGATTTGGACATGTTTTGATTGGAAAAAAAAAGTCAATCTGTTCATCAGTGGGAACATTGAGTAAATTTAAGATCGCGGTTGACATAAAGTATGTAATCTTTTCAGGTGAATTTTTACCATTACGATGATTTTTAATTTGTAGGTTGGCTGTTGTCTTGTAGGTTAACTTCAGTAGTATATTGATGCTCTACGATTCCACTATTTCCTTTCACTGTGAATCTGCTGTGACGAACAATGACCCTATTGCTGCAAGCAAGGCTCACAAAGGGCATGGCTTGACCAGGATTTGAACCGGCGCGCACAATACCGACTTATCATTCGGCCCCATATTGGATATAAACTTATATTTGTTTTAATTTCCTTTGGGCTTATTGTGTTTGAGGTAACCAGTCACTTGTGAGCTGGTTTTACCGACATTTAACTCAGCGCGGATCATTGTTGCAATATTTCTGTGTGCGATTGTAGCATTGGCATTGTTTGCATTGCGGGAATTCACTGGTATTTCTGTATTGACGATTTGGTAATGCAGTTTTCTGATATTAAAGATTTCTTATTATTATATTTTCGTTATAAATCTACAAAGAATATCGACAATTATTTTCTTTACTTATTCATGACGTTCGTGATATTAATCACCGTATGTCCATAGCTTTCTATTTCTTCTTTAACATTCTCTAAATCCGAGTTAGGTATCAGATTTTTAATCTGATACCTAATTATCGCGCGATAATTCTTTTCTTCCTTAAATTGACATGTATATAATTGAATCGTTCTAAATTGTAATTCTCTAACAATTTTTCTAAAATTTTTGACGTTCCCGCATGGTAAGTTAATCTGGATTTGAAATTTTTGTAAATTTATCGGTTCTATAGTTTATAATTTTAAGTACATAACACCTTGCTCAATATGTTCGTATGATATCATATAGATGGTAAGTCTATGGATATCATATAGATTGACGTCTCTACTTTATTTCTTTCATATCATTTTTAGGACCTACCAACCAAAGTTACAGTGGTTTTAGTGACGCTACTTTTGTAATTTTCAAGACAATGGAATAATCTGAATTTCGTTTGTTGATAAAACATTGCTTTTTTATGGGGAAAAATACCGTTCAAGCAAAGCAATGGCTTGATAAGTATTATGGGGCTCTTCTCCGTCGAGACAAGTGGTTTGCTGATTTTAAACGCGGTCGTACAGACACAAATGTTGCAGAGCGTTCAACAAATTTCTCCAAAATTCGGCCAGAAGGCAGAGTATTCACCATTTTGCATGAACGTTTGATCATGAAAAGCTCTGTTCGAAATGGGTACCACATTAGCTCACAGTGGACCAAAAACAACGAGTTGATGATTTCGATCACTGCTTGGAGCTGGTCTGTGCTCTTTCACCAAGCCCAATGCACCGACCGTGTCACAAGTCGATCAAAACGATGACAAAAATGCACAAATTTCACTTTGATTTGCTTGTCGTATTCTATAGATCTGGTTCCCAGCGACTAATAAATCAACAAACAAACATTAGTTTATATCCAATATATCCCTGGATGCAGCAGGGAAGTGTTTTTAACTATTGCTTTACCTTCTATACACGACAGATATACCTAAAACTAGCAATAATACAATTGCAACATTCTATGATGATGCTCAAGAGAAAGAGATTTTGTTCTAATGAAGAAGTGATTGCCGAAACTGAAGGGTATTTTGAGGCCAAAGATAAATCGTTCTACAAGAAAGGAATTGAAATATTAGAGAAGCATTGGAATGAATGCATCACTCTTGTAGACTATGTTGATGCCCAAAAGTTGTTGTTTTATTAGTCATCCTACGAACTTATTGTGTGAGATGTAATTTCGCTATTTTTCGAATGAAACAAATAGCAAAACTTGTATTTAATATCTTTGTACGTTTTTAAATAATGTATGCTGCTTAATGAAAGAAAAACATTTTTTTGGCAAATAAAAACTATACAATATATACACAAATGAAAAGTATCGATGATAGTATACTTTTTTTAAGAGGAAATGTAACCTTGCAAAGGTATTTTGATAAATCTCCGCAATGCAGATTTTCATATCTGCATTTGCACTTCAAATTCTCAGCTCATCATCTTCCTTAATGAAGAGCACCCCAGATAAGTATATTACTACGACGTCCTACCTCTCTTGTCTCGGCAGCATTTTACCAACGAATATCTCTGGTTCTAACAGTTCTCAAATATTTTATTCCGCCTCATGCTTCATCTGTACTCATCCGCATCCAAATAATATATGCTACTTGACGAAGTACCGAAGCCTGGAATGCTGTTGGCTCAAGTAGAAAGTTCTTTCACCGTGCTTTCTGGAAATCCTATTTCTGAGATAGGATTTCCAGAAAACACTTTCTACTTGAGCCAACAGCATTCCAGAATTCCTTCTATTAGCAAACCTATTTAATCTGCAAGTTTTCCAACAGTAGTCCATCACTGTTATAGAGTGTGCCATACTCCGAGAAACCATTTCGAACTAGACTTCAAACCACCATTGTTTAAGTTTCATTACAAGTGTATTTGCATCTGCCGCTATAAAAGTTACTGTCCTGATGTCATTTATGATTATTATGTTAGCCTGTTAATTAATGCATTGCCAAATATATTTTAAATGATGCGAAGTATACTACAATGTAGAGTCTATATAACTTTATTTCTTCATTCCTTCCTATTTTTCATTGAGATGGGAAGTGTCCAGTTATTATAATCTAAAATAATTGTTAGTATCACTTTCTTTTGCAGATCCTTTAATATATTACCTCTGATTAAGTCTTCTTGCATTTTATTTGATTACATGCAGAATCATAAATTTTACTTGGTTGTTTTATTGGATTAGACATTTGGAATGATGATGTAAGGAAATGTTTTATTTCAAATTTAGAGTTTTCTATATTTTTTTTTTCGAGAAGTTTTCCTTGTCTTCCTCGCATGGCGTTTTCTCTTGGGATAAACATGATGCAAATCTGTTTGTGTTTGTTTTATTTTTCCTATATAGTAAGTATTATAATTTGTTCAGCGAATTATTCCATAAATAATTATAACCAAAATGTACTACGGCTAATCATAAATAGGATACACAGTGTATATACAGTGGAACCCCGCGTACGAGCACCTTGCATAACGAGCATTTCGCTTAACGAGCAAAATTAATTGTAAGAAAAATGACTCGAATAACGAGTGACGTTTCGCATAATAAGTGACGAGGAGAAGAGAAGTCTCGGATTGAAGGCGTGCAATCCGAGACTTCTCTTGATTTTTAAAACTTGTGTATTAATACGAGTAAAAATCCGGAAATTTTGGAACGGATTAAACTCGTTAAGCGAGGTTTCACTGTATTGTCAAATGTATATTTTATCAGCAATCTATTCTTCAGTAAATAAGTCAAGGTATTAAATAAATTCATAAATAAACATTTTTGTCAAAATATTTGATTTCTCTGCCGTCATAATCATATGAATTTAAATGGAAAGACAACGGTCAATATCATTTTTATCTAAACGTGTGTGAAATTATTTTTAATATAATTGTGGCTATTTAATGATATTCGTAATATCTCACAATTGAATTAACTTCGATTAAGATCAAATATAATAGTAAAATATTTTATATATCCTTTAATTGCGCATAAATTATCAAATCATTGATTTCAAGTAGTCATTTAGTATTCAACTACAAAATTACATAAATAAATATAATCAGGAAAGTATGAAATAAAAACATATCAATTAAATTAAAAATATTTTTTATTGATTTAATACATTTATATATCAGTTTTTTTTATAACTTGACAATATAATATTAATAATGTTGATTAATTGAAAGAATATCAAAAAATCAACAAAATTGGTTGTACTTTTTTCACAAAAAAAATATTTTCCCAGTGTAGGAATAAGTTAAATTATACTTAAAAAAACTTAAAGTACACCCTGGGAAACAAATTGCTCCTAATGATGCACATTTCATTTTCATAAAAACAAATAAATAATATCTATTATTATAAAATTATATCATTCTGAAAATAGAAATTGTAATATTTGTTCCACATATTTTATAGTAAATAATTACCATTACCACATAATAATTAAATAGCATAACTTGTATTCAATAACCTTTGTAATGCTATAAAAAAACATGTTTTCTTTTTATAAATACTAAATGTTTATAAACCATAACTACATATAATTATATGAAATTTCATTAAAATTTGAAATTATATAAACGCAAATGTACATTGTGAAACCAGTATTCAAGTTGCATCCAGCAAAATGAATTCTGTAACACGTGGGTTAATTTTGCTCGTCTTAACTTTTGCAGCAAATGCTGCCAAATTACGTAATATCAACCGCATTAAAAAACTAATAACTATTTAATTGTATCACTATTTCAGCAAGTTTCATACAAAAATGTGACAAAAATGATCCAAATTTTGGTAAATGTGCCATAGATTTAGCTCACGACATTATTCCTAAATTGCAAAATGGTTAGTTTATGCAAAAATTGTAAATAATCAAATACATCGGAAAGTATTGTTTCAGGTTATAAAGAGTTAAATTTTCCTCCTTTTGTACCTTTTCACGTGCAAGAAATTGCAATTGAAGCAACCGATTCGTTAAAATTAAAGCTCTCCGATGTGGACATATTTGGATTGGAAAAAGCAAAGTTCAACTCGATTGAGTAAGACGTTTTTATAATTTATACTTTAAATTAATATTGTTTTTCTATTCCAAGTTGCAATTTTAATTCAATGGATTGCGTTTCAAAAATATATTTTCCAGAGTTGGAAGTAAAAGGAATATATGACATTGATGGTAGAGTAATGATTTTACCAATTAAAGGTCATGGCCCAACAAATATTAAAATCGGTAAGTGATTTCAAAACATATTTGTCCTGTTTACGTTCATTTTCTTTTAGTTGGTGGTAACTTTCTAATTTCATTCAAATGGTCTATAAAACAAAAAGAAGGTGTTGATTATGCTTCTATTGGCAAATTCGAATTGCACTACCAAACTGAAAGAAGCATTTTTCATTTTGATAATCTATTCAATGGTGATAAAGTGTTAGGTAAGAAGCTATATTATTTTTAATAATATATATACTTTATAATAATTTATTTTAAAATTTATTTTAGGTGATCAAATGAACGATTTCTTAAATGAAAATTGGCAGGAACTGTCGAGGGAAGTAGAGCCTGCAGTTTCAAATACTATAGCAGTCATCTTGAAATCTATTTTCTCTAAATTTGCAGATCAAATTCCTTATAATGAATTGTTCCTCTAATACAGCGGTCGCCAACCGGTGATCCGTACATAATTTTATATATTTGCAAACTTTGTTTTTCTTATATTGTAATTCTATTTTATGTCTTGTTACGTTACATTTTTATAAAAGACCTAATCTAAAAGCAAATGAAATTTCCATTTCAACTTTATAAAAAAAATATTTTTATGGAAAAAAAATATGATTTTGGTTTGCGGGAGTCAATATTTTCAGTTTAGTGGTCTGTGGTCAAAAAGGTTGCTCTAATATATATTATACATAATATATATTTTTTCAAACTAAAAAAAAAATGTATAAAAGTAATATTGAGAAGCACATATTTGTGGTATAATTTTTGTATGTCTATCAGACGAATGCGCTCCGAAAATAAACTATATTTACAACTTACTCATTTTTTGTTAATCAATTTTAATAAAGGTAACAATTTCCATTGATTCATTAAATTACTTCAATTAGGGACGAAAGAAATCAAAAATATAGTTATTTTTATAACGTCCTTTTTATTTACAATCTGTTTTATTAGAAAAACATTCAGTAAATGATCTAGCTGTTGACAAATTTAATTGTACATCACTCCTTGGCGATTATCCTTATTGATTAATTATTGAATCTTAATTATAGATCCAGTGGCTTATATCGCTACAGTCATTGCGTTGTTAAGCTATTATCAAGAAGATTGATAGATAATTATACTATATAATCACAAGAGATAAATACTGCGATATGATGAGTTTACTGCCATTACCATGAATACTTCACTATGTTAACTGTAAAGGAGAAATAAGAAAAAAACGTTTATTTTTAACAATTTTAATAATTATTATTTCATAATAAAATTTAACAGTTTGTAGTATTACAAACATCACATGAATTGATTAGCGTTTGCCAATATTTTTATATCGATTCAAATGCAAAAATTAATTTTTGTTTTACATCATTTAGTATATCGATACGCATGGATGATATGTAATATGAATATTGCACAATACAAATTATTTTCAATTTATAGCATTTCACAATTTTCCAAGTAAACAATTTGAATAGAAATAATTGCAAAACAATTAATTGTTTCGTTGTAAAGCGCTTGATTTAAAAATCGTATAAATTGATTCAATAATTAAATGAGCGCAGTTAGAGTGTAGCAATTTCAAAGAACCCAGTCATAATGTTTGTGTCAAGTTTTTTTCTTCTTCTAATATCAACAATTGTGATCCATGCTGCCCAATTACGTAATATTGCAAACAATTTATTATTCAATTTATTAGTTCAATATTTTTAGCAAATTTCATAAAAAAATGTGATAAAAATGATCCTAACTTTGGTGAATGCGGCATTGCTGTCAGTAGAGTGGTTATACCTAGATTAGTGACTGGTAAGTATTTACCAATTGAATTGTGTATTTTTTCAAAATTAGCATAATTCTTTTAGGTTATAAAGAATTGGGTTTTCCCCCAATCAGTCCATTCCATGTAGATGAAATTGGAATCGAAGCGACTGAATCATTGAAACTAAAACTCACAGACGTGGATATTTATGGATTAGAGAAAGGAAATATAACCGATATGAAGTAGTGAAAGAAAAAGTTAAAATCTATGCAATAATATGTAATAATTTAAAAATATTAACAGATGCGATTTCAAGATTGGATCATGTTCTACATCCATTTATTTCCCGCAGTTAGAAGTTAAAGGTACGTACGACATCGATGGTCAGGTGTTGATTCTACCAATTAAAGGTCACGGAGGGGCCTCAATTAAAATAGGTATATCAAGTTTAATAGTAAATTTATTGACCTTAAGAGTAAATTATTTGATGTATGAACAGATGATGCTGTTTTCGACTTTACGTTGGCTTGGTCCTTGTATAAAAAGGATGGAGTGGAATATGCAACACCCGGAGAATTTGTGTTGCACTACAACACAAATAGGAGTTTTTATCACTTCGATAACTTATTCAATGGCGACAAAGCATTAGGTACGATTTTTTTTTTTATTATTACTTGAATTAGTTTTAGATAAATTGTTTATTTATTTAATTTACGTAGGTGACCAAATGAATAATTTTCTAAATGAAAATTGGCAAGATTTGTCCAAGGAAGTCGAACCAGCTGTTTCAAGGACGATCAGTGTCATACTAAAAACAATGTTCTCTAGATTATCCGATCAAATTCCGTATAATGACCTTTTTCTATAATTAGTTGAATTTAATATTAAGTATTGACTTTTTATGTAAGAAAAAATGTTGTATATTTTTATTTTATTTACAAATTTTTATTTGCCATTATTTAGACCAAAGGGCAATAGTTTATAATTAATTACAATAAAAAAATGGGTATTATTAAAATATTTAGATTAATCTTTTGATTTTTTTTATAGTGTCCCTTGTCCTTATTGTGAAGTGAATATTGAAAATACATTCATAAATATTTGTATTACTTTTATACTCAGTATTTCTACAAAAAATAGATTTCAAATTTATGTCTTTTTATTTTGTAGAGGAGATAAAACCTTACATAAGGACCACGGGAGGAGTCGTGGTACTGTGGGATTCTTACCGCACTAAAACCTCTCCCCTTCTTCGCCAGCATGCAGGACCTGTATCACTATACTACTCTGCGATGCTGATTGTCTTTGCCTCTCTGGCCTGCACTGCCACTATCCTCGTAGACCCTCTGCAGCTCCCGCTCGTCTTCTTCTTTGCTTAGTAGCACCTCTGATATGTACGCCGCTACAATATCCCAGCTCTTCGCACTCTTCAGAATTTCACTGATAACATTTTCTGGCTCTAGCAGAACTCCCAATTTTGCCTCCACCTCGTGCTTTCTTCCAACCCATCTGCAGCACCTAAATAGCGTGTGCTCAGGCCTATCGTCCTCCTCACAGTACCAGCACCTTTTGTCCTCCTTCTTCGCGATGAAGTGCAGGTACTTGCTAAAGCAATTTTCGCTCAAATATTTTTTATATATGTTTTTAAATTTTCGCGGATAAGCAAAATAATTTCACCAAACAGGCAACCAAGCAACACCTTTCCAATTCAATATCATTAACTATACTCCTTACAGATGATAGTCCAATTTTTGTCTATATTAAATTTATTTCTTGTATGACATATGTTTTTATTTATGTAATTCACAAAATGTAAATATCAGTAAATTCGTTTTATAATTGAAATCATAAAAAATAAATAAACCGTTACAAGAACGTAGATCTTTTTATATATTTAGTCCGTTTATTTTATGTAATTTTATGATTAATTGAAAGGAACATTATAATTATATTGCATAATATTTAATACAGGAATTAAAACGGTTTAAAAAACAAATCATACAAAAATGAAAACATATTATATTAATTCTTATAAATAAATAGTTCATTATTGTGCTACAATTACTTTTTATTTTGCTCAATTATAAATAGTTTAAAGTTGCGTCACCTCAGCCCAAGTTCAAAATAAAACACTGAATGTAAACAGTTTATTAAAATTATTGCATACACACGATCAAACATAGTTATCGACAATTACAATTAGAAGCGTAATTAAAATGAGTGAAAACAAATCAAAGTTCCATTTAATATACTGGAATTATTATTCAAATGCTTTGCTTTTTAGACGAGTGTTTACTTGAATTACTATTCTTTGAATCAATTTGCATAACAGGTTTCATTCGCTTTTTAAATTGAAACACAAACTTCAATTCTTCCATGTAGTCTCTTTTAAAACGTTTTGTATCTTTATACGTTTTACGCAAAATATGTAGTGCCAATTCCAGGAATGTCCCTAAAAATCCTAAAATAGTTCCCAGCGTTAAAATGAAAAACACACCTTCTACATTCTTCAAGCCTAGTGGAGTTGCAGCTCCTCCTGCTGTACGACTCTAAAAAAAACAAGTTTTTCAGTTTATCTTTCTTTAATTTATTTTTGTTTAATGATAATTTAATATTTTATAACTTACAGCGCAGTTTCCACCTCCACGTTTTTCCTTCCACCATTTTATTTTTAGAGATGTCAATTTTCCAGTCTCTTGCAGTTTGAGAACGGCAGCACTTAATATGTTCCTGTATTTTGAATCTGTAAGTATATAAATTAAATATAATTTTTCAGAGTTAATTTATACAACAAATAAAGTCTATAGCAAATTTATATTATAATAAGATTGAAAAGAAAAATTCTGTATTTTCAATATGTAAGTATATAAACTTAATCATTTTGTAGAGTTCCACGTGCTGCAAGCCAGCAACCACATGGAATCACATGGGTTTCCAGAGACATTTAGTATAGTATACAAAATGAATTAAAAATAATATAAACATGTAAATTTTTAAAGTGAATTTACGTGGGTAGACCCAGAAGTACCCGACAAGATCCTACATTCATTAGTATTTGTTTGACAGTCATAGTGAACGCTCTCAGTGAATTTGTAAACATAGAAAATTCCACAAAATAGTATTGGACATGGTAGACATTTCAGAATTTGTGCTGTTTATCATATTGACTAAAAATATAATCATGAGAAAGCTGTGCGCAAGATGCGCGTTTGCTCACAATGTAGTTTCATGAAAACAATACACCAGTTCATACATCTGTTATCACGATGGCCAAAATCAATGAGTTAAAGTTCCAATTGCTTCTTCACGCACCCTAATCGCCAGATATAGCTCTCGGATTATAAAAGTGACTCGATGGTAAAAGATTTACAAACAATGAAGAAGTGGAGTCTATGGTTACTGGTTATTTTGAGAAGCTTGACAGTTCTCACTATAAACAGGGCATCGAAGCTATTGAACAACACTGGAAAAAGTTATCAAAAACTACCCTCATAGATATATGAAAGTAATGAAAAGATTAATATCATCACTAGAAAAATGTTGATAAAAAAGTAATATTTGCCATTAAATATGGTATAATACGATTTGTTAAAACAGATTACCTTTTCTCATAGCAATTCCATAACCTTTATCATCCAAAAGTCCTCCAACCTGAGCTAAAGTACAATGCCTTTCAACTATATATTCAATAGTGGTAGATTCCATTAGAAAAGCATAATTTTCAGTCTCCACGCGTCTAACTCCTTCATCATTATCAGCAGTCATATCTGTTGGATGTTTATACATATATCTTCCAATTACTTTGTAAGATTCGATGTCAGAATCCTAAAATATTAACTATAATTCATAAATTATCTACAAAAAGTAATTACCCTGAAAAAGTTGGAAGTTGCTCCATCTTTTTTGGCTCCGTATTTAATTTCCGTCTGTTCGGCCAACTCTTCGATATTTTTAAAAGAAGTTACCAAAGTTTCAACTGTCAAAAAAGCAGCTAAATTAGCGGTATATGAGGAAACCATAATCAACGTAAAGAACCACCAAATCCCAGCAACCATTCTTGTTGAAATTCCTCTAAAAAATGATTTAAATTTATTTGTTATGAAAAAAAAGTAATGACAATCATACATTGGTGCAATTTCTGTTCCCTGTTGCATCAAACTACCAATTGTAAACCATAAAGAGTTCCTTAAAGAGAATTGGTTGATTAGAAACTCGGGTTCTTCGACACACGGATAGGGATTTGTCCATTCGCTTGGACAAAGTCTTCCGATTATAAATAAGCTGATGGATACAAAGAAGTAAGCAACTCCAAGAAGCATCCATACTTGTAATGAAAAGGGTGAAGCGAACGTGAACAAACTAGGTGCTACCGGTTCTGGTTTCCTATACAAAATGCTGATTCCGAGATTCATGAAAGGCATTGTAAAATCTACTGCGTTCTCCCTTTCTGATGTTATTGTGAGATCAGTTATAGCCAAATCCGCTCTCTAAAACCACGAGTTAGTCAATTGAATTCAAAGAATAAAATTAGATTACTCCATCAATTATTTCCCGGATCATTCCGTTCCACTGCTTAGTCCTTCTATCAAAATTCCCGTTAGCACCATCCTCTTGTATAACGAAAGTATAATTGAATCCGAGCATCAAAGATAACTCATGAATCAAATCAATTCCGAATCCTTCGAATCTATCATTTCCTGACAGCTGAGTTGTTGTTTCCTTCAACAATCCGTATGGTGGGGTCTGCGATTTTAGAGCCGACCTTCAATTAAACAAACAAAGAGTCAATTTGGTAATAAAGATGAAAGTTTACCAGAGCTGTGATGACTACGAATGATTTATTGGTTAGAGAACCTTCATCTACTTGAACTATTTCAATTGGACTATAAAATCTTTCAATGGTTACGCTGTGTGAAACATTCCAGGTTCCAATCTTAATTAATCCACCAACTGCTAATTCGATAATCTCCAAATTAAATTCTGTGCGTACTCCTTGATAATCAAATTTTACAATACCAGTGAGACCATCCAAAGATTTCTGTTTCAAAATAATACATGAATTAAATTAAATTTTAATTATACAACAATTACCGTTTTCAATAGATTGGTTATGCTATATCCATGTTCCCAGTTGTTGGTTGAGTCGCAACCCAAATTTCGTACATCAAAAGGTTTAGTCAGCTTGAAATCCCTAATAGTTTCAAAAAATAAGGAAACTGCATCGACCAGAAGTGCAGTTTTGGTAGTCAATTTCCAAGCTGCGAAATGATCAAAATAGGTTAAATTTAATCCCATCTTCATTTTCATGCGTTGTAGTTTTTCAGCTAACTCAATCATATTCCGATGTTCAGGATTCATTAAACGCACCTAAAAAAAGTCAAAACATTAACATCGTATTATTTATTAGTACTGCTTTATATATAATGAATTGATACATGCCCCCGTTATGTTACAACCTCCGTATTGATATGGACCTAAATCTATAGTGTGCATATCCGGATTCGTTATGATGTAATTATATTCATCTGTGATTATACCAACTTGTTGAGCTTGTAGTAGAACTTCTTCCAAAACTTCAATGCTACACACAAGAATAAAATATTTTTCACCAGATCTTTTAATGGTATTCAAAACATTTCTGTAACGCGAAGAAACATCAACTTCCAACTGCCGCACACGTATTTTATAACCTTCATTATCGGCCATAAGCAAACGATCCACTTTCATCAAACTGATTTCATCATCGTAAAGTATAGTAAACATCTTCCAATCCCATTTCCGAACAAGCTCAAGAAAAGCAACACCTAGCATGTACGGGTTTGGGTAAAAGTTAACCAAACTCCTTTGTTGATTAGTATTCCAATGAGTTTCAATATGCGGAATCTCTTTGGTATCGCAAATTGATTGCACATAAGGAGAAGAACTTTGCGAACTTGGACCAAATATTGCAACAACTCCATCATCAAGCAAATCGCAAACCGCCTTTGATACTTCAAGAGTATTTTCTAGTTTAACCCTCCTGGATTTTTCCACCAATTTAATATTGGCATTAGGATGTAAACTGTTCACCATATTAACGGCGTAAGAAAAAGCAAGTTCTTCATGTTCATCACTCTCATCAAAAACGCCACCTTCAATTAATATATTAACAAAAATGAAACACAAAAAATATTATTTACTCACCTATTTTAAGTTTTTGAATGGACGTATGACACACGTGTATGAAAAACACCAAAACAATTTCACTGCGCATCGTAATTTAATTAAAAGAACTTTTTTAAATAACTTTTTTGACTTTACTGGATTAACGAAGAGAAAACATGTTTGGCTCCAGTTTGTGTTTAGAGTATACGTATTTTTAATTATTTCCCGTGTGTATTTTCGTACCTCCTCCACATTTAAACACGCATTGGTTCCAATAAGCGTGCCGGCGATTGTATTTTTAGAACGAACTGATATTTGGTGCATCCTCAGTACGTGCAACGCATTATGTCATTGTTGATTGTAAATTGTAGGTGTAGAAAATAGAGACGAGTGTTGTTAGGCGATGTAACCCACTTGATATTTCAAAGGCAACTGCAGCTAGTAAACCGAGAAATAGAGAATCGTTTGTTAAAATAAATATGTGTCAGGCAGTCAGCCAATTCCTTCATTTTTTATTTCATTCCATTGGTCTGCAAACCAAAATGGAAAGTATACAAACATTCTCATATGTTTTTCATAATATACATACTAAACATTATCATTTATTCTATTGTAATATAATTATTGAATTGTTTAAAAATGCTGTTTAATTGCAATGTTATTTGAAATGTAAATAAAAAATTAACTTCATTATTATGAACAAAAATCAGACATAAATATGAGAAAATAAATGTACACCGGTTAATCGGGAAAGCCGCTTATTAGGGACAATTCCTAAAAAACAGAAACAAAACCGAATAAATAATAATTACAATTGGGACAAGAATATTGAATCCTGAAAATATAAAAGTAATGTTTTATAATAACTCTCCATTACAACTTTTAGAAATGAAGACTTTTCACTAAATATTTGGAAATAAAATATATGAAAGAAAATATAATTAATAAGTAATACCCATTGGATAAAATATTTATTAGTAAACGTGAATCGATATTTCTGAACCTATTGATCATTTCTAATATATTGCATGTTATGTTTCTTTACGTTAGCCTTACATCGGAATACTCATTATGTTAAATGGGGCTTGAAATTGCGTAGTGCTTAAAAGGTGAAGATATTTTTAAAACTGATACATTGTTTATGACTACTAAACTTGGTATGTTTACGTTGTTTATATTTTAAAATAAAATGATCATCCTAGGTCATGAAATCATCAGATATATTTTAAAATGGGGATGGGATACTTTTTTTTAAAACAATAAAATTTATACGAACATATTATTACTTAAAGTTAATCGACATACAAAAATGAAAACACTTTTGATTTTGGAATTATGTTACTTTATCAATGCCAATTTATAATAAACTACTAAATCACAATGATCACTGTGATATACATATTATAGAAGGTGGAAGATCTTGTAGACTGTGCGTAGTCCTAGAATGTCCCTTATTATATTCTGATGCTAATTATTTGCTAGTTTCAACACATTACGTTCCATTTTTATAAAAATCCCAATGAACCAATTTCATATCTTGAATCTTATTTTTATGAAAAAAAAAATCATGATAGTGGTTCGCGGGATTAAAAATTTTGAGTTTAGTGGTTGGCATCCGCTATCCTAATATTGAAGGAAGTAGATAGATAAAGATGATGAGATAGGAAAAATGAAGACGACGTCTGTTTTATTCGGACATTAATATTTCTCCTTCTGGCCAGGGTTTCAGGAAGAAACTACAGCGCAGACAGAACAACCTCTCGAGTCGCAGCACAAATTATCAATTAAGGTCCTAGTTAGTTACGCCTCTTATCGTAATTGATTGTATAAGAAGAATGCTAGGGCTGGGTTGTTGGAAAAGTGGCAGGAAAAATGCGATAGCTCAGAGAAGGGAGCCTAAACCCGACATCTAATCCAATAATTGATACCCTGAATTTACAGAAAACACGGTGAAACAACTTTCAACCTAGGCTAAGCGCTTCATAACGAAAATGGTGGAAATATTGGTACTGAGTTGGTACTGTTAAAACACATTTTTTAGATGTTTCAGATGGCCAAAAAAGAAGCACGAGGCGGAAGAAAATCTTGGAGAACGTTTAGAACTAAAGACGTTCGTTAGTAAAATGATAAAGAGTCAAGAGAGCTGGGACATCATAAGAATATACTTATAAGGGGTGCTTTCAATTAAGGAAGATAGTGGATGATGGAAGGAAGAAAGTGGTAGTGGAGACCAACATACGTCAAAGTGAAGTACTTGCTAGCATCGAATATTGTGGGCATTATCAGACTTTTCAAAAAATATATGTAAGATACACTGTCAGCACTGCACCTGACCAAATGGTCGTGCATCGGAACACCACAAGAAACCATTGATTTCACGCTGGAATGTCCAAATACCACTGTAAGCACGATGGAGCGCATGGACAACCTTACTTGATCAAATACGAGCCTGCCTGCCTGACATGGGCACTGTTCAAGGACTTCGGGGAATAAAGGGTTTGCCTACGCTAGTGGGAGTGAAACACTTTGATAGGGATTAGCATTCAGAATTCAGATCTGGGAATTGGAACGCCGTAGATGCTTAGAAAAATGCTGACTTGGATCACTAACTCTGAGATTGCTGAAAGAAAATCTGTTTTTTACTGAGTTTATTGGATAATCTGTTGTTGATTGATTGTAACGATGATTTCTGACATCACGACATATATGTTAAATAACCGGTATTAGAAAAAAAAAACAGAATAATAGAAAAATTAATAACCATTACAATATTGTTTAAAAAATCTGAAAGTTGAGAGTAATAAATATACAAACAACTTAAGATATTTCGAAAATTGAACATGCCTTTAATAAATATGCAGAAAATATAATATTTTAAAATAGAATTGTTATTACTTTAACTGAAATATTTTCAAACAAAGGAACCTTAAATATTCAGACGTCATCAAATAAAACATTGCGCCAATTGGATTAATAAACATTGGAAATTGGATCTCGTCCAACGCGGACAACGACCGCTCGCGCAAAACGTGTTTGCCAAAATCAATAAATTTCATTATTTAACGGTCGTAACCTTAAAAAAATACTAAAAGAAACCCAGGAAAGAAGACATTTCAAATAAAACCACAAGTTCTTAAATATTTCTTAAAATAAGAAAAATGTTTATTTACATACGACTATTTATAAATAAAATGCATGCATATTAAGAAATGTTTGCACAAATACAAATATTGTTTGAAAGACATATAAAAGACATAGTCCAGATTCGACCAGTTCGGATTCACTATAGTCTGATTTGAAAATTTCAAAACAAATTAAATTTTAATTCAGCAAAATTAAAATTAAATATAATTTCCTTCATATAGTCTCTTTTTGTGCGGTTATTTTTTTTTATATATTTAGTTCCTCCATTAGTTCGGTTTTATACGGGATATTGATAGAACCGGACTATAGGAGGTATTACTATATTTTTAAATAATTAAAACAAAAATTGAAAAGAAATAAAACTTCAAGTATTTCATTATTTTGTAAAACAATCAAAAGTTTATTTATATACGACTATATATAATTAAAATGCACGAATATTAAAAGATGTTTGAATAGGTACAAGTTATTTGTTTAAACACATGCACACGATAGTCACGATGAACTATATACAAATATAAAATTACTTGAATTTATTGGTATCATATTATTTTTTGATTAATTTAATTACATTAAATGTTATATTTTTGTTTTTTTTAAATATATGTATTTGTTTCAATGAATTACAAATGATATGATATATTTAAAGTGACCTAATTAATTTGATTCCCTTCGTGTGATATTCATTGAAATATATCATATCATTCTAAGTAATCGGATCTTTTTCAACCACCCCGTACGTCGTATATGGACCCAGAGGGTAGAAACGGCCATCATCAATACCTATATTGGATGTGGTACTTGGTGAGATAGACTTTCTGGGTGGTTTCGAAGAGCCGTGGCATCGTAACGCGAATTTTAACTCGGACGCCATTTCATTACATAACGAACTCTGAAAGATAAACGAAGCGCATGTAACATTTCGAGTCTAAAGTATTAGGAATTATTATTAATTTCGACGTAATCTTACCTCCTATATATCCATGAATTACGAGGAGCAAGAACAATGAGCAATAAACGTTATCTTATATAAGAGTGGAATTACGCAATCGCTCCGTAAACACACGCAATCATCCAATCAACAACCAACCGATAATTTAAATAATTGATTAATTAATTAAATATATAATAAACAACAATGATTGTAAAATGGCAATATATTATTTATATACTTCTGATTGGCATCTCTGATATATTGTCAATAAATTCGTTCATTCAAAAGAAAAACTGAAATTATCTTATAGTTTACCCTGTTGTTGGGTAATAAATGAAAGCTTCTGTTCTCTATATAATTTGTTTATATACATATGATTAGCAAATAAGTTATTTAGTATTAGCCTAGTATCTAATTAACAATTATAAAATGTTTGCTATACGTTTTTTTGGTTAATATTAAACATCGCTAAAAATATATATACATAATTGAGCTGATTCATGGTGTGATTCGTTGATTAATCAAAGAAAGTAATAGAATGAAAAAGGAAATATGTTTGATATTTACACGCTACACAAATAAATTTAATTATGCCTATAATATAGTACACACATTTTAATTTAATATAGTTATATTCGTATATGTCAAAGGGTGGTGGATATTGAAACGTGGCCAGTTACTTTTACTTCTTTTACGCAACTGGATAATACTTGTTGTTGTTGTTTGTTGTAGTTATGATAAATGAGATCTGCATGGTGCATAGTTGATTTCAGCTACATGCTACGCACTAGCTTATAGCTACGTGTCATGTAGAATGCTGCTCACCCGTTCTTCGACGGCGACTTTCCGGGACTTCCAGACGAACTCACAAACTGCAATTACACAGGCCACCCCCATGCCACCCATCAGGACCACAAACACACCGCCGACGTTCGCCAATCCTAGTTCGTTTGCAGTGCTGCTCGTCTTTGTGGTCTCATCCTAAAACCATCGCACATGTTAGACTCCATCATCCCCCAATGAATACCACTGAAACGTCTTCTTACCCTGCATGCACCGCCTCCGCGTTTTTCCTTCCACCATCTCGTCTTTAGAATGTGCAATTTCCCCTCTTCCTGCAGTTTCAGAATTGCTCCACTTATAGCCGTTCTGAATGGTGAATCTGAAAGGACGTTTTATTGTACTCTATTATCACTTTATATATTCTTGCAATTTACTACGGCATTAATATACATTTAGCACTGCAATTTTCGATAAAAATATCCTTGTGCACAGTTTTGCATCTAGCAATTTTTCGAATAATTTTTATTTACTTACATATTATTGCACACAATCTGTATTCAATGAATATGCTATCGACCGAGGTCTTTCCGCACTTGGAATTATATTATATTAAATTTATAGATTTTTTTATTTGTTAATTATTTGATAGTTTTTTCGTAACTTACGCAACCATTTGTGGTAAAAATATGCATAATATGAAGATGTTGCTTTCTTAACAAAATAAATCATCTATACAGATTTGATTACATTTTTTAATGTAATTTTCAATAATACATTAAATTTTAGAAGCACTTAGGAAAATTTCATATATCACGATTTTATCCAAAATTTAATAAACTTTTTTTTTTTTTTTCCTGTCTTGGATCTGGTTTGACAAGTATACAATATCTGTCTAAAGAACTTTACTTCTGCCTTCTAGATAGGAAGTATTGGAAATGTGATAATGTCTGCTATTACAGCTTGTTATGGATTTCTTACCTATTGTATTTTACAATACAAGGTCGTATACCAAATAAAAATGTTCGTCTCCAAAGCGGACCTATACCAATGTACCACTGTATGTAGAAACCAAAGTATTGCTTAACTATAGATACTATTTATGTTAGACAATATAATTATTATTTGCATAGAAGTGCTCAGTACTTATCATACATGATGCTGTTACATCACACATTCACTCTCATATTACGTAATGAACCATAAATACACCCATACCTCGCTTTAAGGCCTAGATACATTTCGGAACAATTGGCCGTAAAGCAAAATGCCGTATAACAAATCAATTATCTTGATATAAACATTTATTCAGATTTTTGTTTGACAAAACATTTTACGCCGTAAATCGAAAATTAAAGAAGGCCGTTAAAGCGAGATATAGTTGTGATAGCAAGCGTTCCAATTACCGTTGGACACAATGTAAAAGGTGTAGAATAGTGAGAAATTAACTATAAGCAATGTTTATGCAACTAGAAGTGCTTTTTAATTAGAACATACAGTGGAACCTGGCTTAACGAGTTTAATCCGTTCAAAAATTTCCGGATTTTTACCTGAATAGTGAAATAATAGTATAGTGAAACATATTCAAAAATACACATAATAAATGTATACAACTTTTAAAAATGATGTAGCAAGCGCACAATCCGGGACTTCTCTTCTTATCGTCACTCGTTAAGCGAAACGTCGCTTGTTAAGCGTGTCATTTTTCTTACAATTTATTTTGCTTGTTAAAACTTGTGCACACATATTATGTGTATTTTTAAATATGTTTCACTATATGACTATTTCACTATACGAGTAAAAATCCAGAAATTTTGGAATGGATTAAAGTCGTTAAGCGAGGTTTCACTGTATTAATATTAATTTCTCTCGTAAAAAAATATATTGATAGATGTTTCTGTCTCATAACGCAAAATGTGTGGATGCGGCATTAGATTATGATAAAAATATAATTCAGAACAGAAAGACCTATGGTCAAAAGACCTTTGTAGCAGATCAGTTTGTTTTGTTTCTTTTCTTGTTATATTATAATAATATTTCATTAGTTCATTTTGAGCATAAATATTCGATAAAATCTATGTTTTTTGTAATAGAATCAATATAAAAAAAGGGTTTCCTTTGTAAGGAATAAAATTCGCTACAATGATATAAAATGCCATATATCAGAACCATTTTTTGGGAACATTAAATTGAAGGTCGTGATAAAAATAACTGGCGACTGAAAGTAATAATTCCATTTTAATAATTCACACGTGGTGGTTTGTGTGAAACCGGCGTGCAGTGATCGTAAAATATCGAAGCAAATGCCTGGAATATTAAGTGGGTGTGGTAAAAAGCATAAAACTTAATACATGGAGGATATTTTCCTTCGATCTTTTCCTTTTTACCAATGACTTGTGAGTCTAAAACTGCAATTATACTGAAAGTAATTGAATCAAGAGAATGCAGGAATATATTTATTTATTTTATTATATTTACTTCTATAAAGATTAAATAAATTGTAAATTTATGTTTTCTACTAATATTTGAATCTAAACTTCCAATTATATAAATCGATATGTAAAATTCTATTATGTAGTGATTTATTTTAATTTTATTAAACTAAATTTAATTTATTTTTGCTCCCATTTATTTCTGATTATCAACGTTATAATAGAATGCAATGATCTATTATATATTCTTTTTTTTTTGCAATCTGAATATAGCGCCAACAGAACTTGGAACTCGGAAATTGATTTTTTACTTACTCGGTGGCATTGCTATTCCATATCCCTTCGAATCCAGCATCCCTCCGACCTGTGTAAGCTCGCAATTTCTTTCTATTACGTACTCAATAGACGTGGATTCCATGAGAAAAGCGTAGCTGCCTTTACCCTTCACCACTCTATCCACACCCTCGACGTTGCTCGTTGTGAATACTGTAGGCCTTGCCGACTCCATGAAAGACCACATGCGTTGATAAGTTGAGAAATTTGAATCCTGAAAATATTTCAGTTTTTTGTCTATAATAAGAGTACGTGTAGATATAATTACTCGAAAGAATGCGGCTGTAGAGCCGCCACGTAATGCTCCGTACTTGATTTTAGTTTGCTTCGCAAGATCTTCCGCACTTTCTATAGGAGAATCCATTCGTTCTACCGTGAGGAAAGCTGCCAGATTTGCAGTGTATGAAGATATCATAATTAAAGTGAAGAACCACCACATCCCAGCCACCATTCGAGTTGAAACAGCCCTAAAAAAATGTACATTAATATAAAAAGCAATAATGAAAGTCTATAGAAATTTTACAAATAATTATGATCCCAAAATTAAAAATATATTTTTTACAACAATATTTTCATGAGTTAATTTAAGATTTGGCATTAACATAAACTTTTATTCCATTACTAAATTATTGTTTTATCTAAATTAACCTAAAATAATTAACTTCAATAAAATACTCTAAGGACATATATTACATTTGGGTGATTATAAAACGTATATTAATTGTTTTATCAAAGTAAATGTTTAAAAAAATATAAAAGTAAAGATTCTATTTATCAGAAATTAATCTAAAATATTTTGTTAGTTATATCTAAATTTAAAAATATTATTTAATTTCTAAAATCTGTTATTCTTTGCTATACATTGCTAGTTTGCTAAAACTTCTCGAATAACTACAATGCTGGGAATACGGATTGTAGAGATTTTGTGCTGGCGCCTAAATTATATTACTATTATGTCAGTAGTGCCTCCTAGAAAACCAGTTACTTTGATTGGACCGATAAATCATATTTAATTTTCATTATTTTTATACTTCATCTTCTATATTTTTTAAAATACGTTGAAGGTGTAAAAATAGTCCAGAATGAGCAAAAATTTTGTAAAGGTTGTTATTATAAAGTTAAAATGTGCATATTCTTACTGGTACAGCAAGTCTTTGTTATATAGCGGTGTTTGAAATGATTATCGACAATTTCGTAATAGATTTTCTGATATTTCCTAACTTACTTAGGCGCTATATCGGAGCCTTGCTGCATCAGCGAGCCGATGGTGAACCAGAGCGAGTTCAACAAAGTGAACTGGTTCTCGAGGACGTCCGGCTCACTGTTGCACGGATGGGGATTATCCCACTCGTAAGGGCTGAATCTGGAAAACAAGGAAACTGTTACTTACTTCGGCAAGAAATCGCAGCCCTGTTGCATCAGCGACCCAATCGCGAACCACATGCAGTTGAACAATGTGAATTGATTCTCAAGGTGGTCCGGGTTCGGGTTGCACGGATGCGGATTCTGCCATTCGTACGGTGTGAACCTACAATCATCTCCTTATTACTACGATCAATACGATTAATGCTATAGACTGTCGATGTTATTTACAAACTCTATTGATAAAAACTCATACAATATTCAGAGCGATTACTTTTTTTAAATTTTCGCTTTATATTTTTTTTTTGTTACCTAGCTAGGATAAAGAGGAGGACGGAGACGCCTAAGTATGCTGTAGCCATATAAATCCAGACGTCGAGAGAAAGTGGCGACAAGAAGGAGAACAGATTAGGCGGCTGCTTGATCGGTTTTCGGTACAAGATGCTGATTCCTAAGTTCATGAAGGGCATCGTGAAGTCGACCGCCTGTTCCCGATCGTACGTGATCGTTAAATCCGCAATGGCCAAGTCGGCCTTTTGATCCAACAATTCCTTTATCATCCCATCCCATTCCTGAATAAAAACAAATATCAATCATCAAACTCATACACATATTAACAAATATTGTATAATAACTATAATACTTTTACTTTTATTAAATGTATAAAATTAATATAATATTAATTCTATTTATTTTTTTTCCTAATGTCATAGATTGAACGATTTTTATTAATTTAACAATTATTCACCACCACAATAAAAATAACATAATTTTTTTTATAATTTAATGAAATTATACAAACTTAATTAAAAGTATATAAACATAAAAATCATTTAAATCTGAATCGTTTAGAAACAAATAGATTGAAAACTTCGTTTTTGCGCCCTCAGTTACTTTGCATATTCCAATTTAGATCATCCCAATGCAAATTAGAGTACCCTAATAGCTGCAATGTCAGAAAACAAATTACACTTGCGCAATATAAATCCCTGGGATTTTCCTCACGTTCCTACAATGAGTGTAACTTAAACAAATGTTTTCATCAGGAAGTACTCTATAATCATGTAACGTATTAATAATTGAATTAATTCCTCTACAACAAATCAGATTATAATCATAATTACTTTATTTATTTTACTACAAATTTTCTTTCATGTTTATGTACACTGACTATTACTAAAAAGTAATAGGATTATATTTATAGTTTTTATAGCATATTTTTTAATAGCTAACTACATTGTACTCTTCATATAAAAGTACATAATATTAATATATTCAATCAAAAGAGTAAAAAATGATAGATGCGGATATAATAAAGTTACATTAAAGGGGTCAGCAACTCGTGGATCTTGTACCGGAGTTGTACTGTCCTAGTTTAGAAAAAAAATGCGATTCCAAACTCTCACACCGATAGTTCATTTCACTATTAAAAATTGTGATCGTAATGCTATGTGCTATATGCTCTGTGTGGCCATTTGTTTATGCAATATCTTAAAATTGTCTATTTCATCTAAAAAGATTATCGAACCTTACATAAAAATATATTATTTATCTGTAATTGTACCATTATTAAACGTCAAATGTCAAATAAATACATAAATTAAAACAAATGTATATAATCATACTAAAGAAATGTACAAAGTGGAAAATATAATATTTAACATATAAATTAATAGTCCAATGAAATAATTCTTAAATAAAATTTAGGTAATAAAAATGTTAAAAGCAATCTAATTATAATAGTAATTAATATTTCATGAATATATAAATAAACTCAGTATACTTTTGAAGTGAAACATAGTTTGGCTAATTAGTTTCAATCCTTTAAAGCACGAATATGTTAAAAGCGTTTGTGATGCAAAACCATATAATTTCTGAAACACAACATAAGGAATGCTATATAAGCTGCAAAGATCTTATTGTCTCTCTCAGACATTCTGTAGCATTGTCTCATTATTAGAAACATAGAATATTTGAAACAACCTAAATGATTTATTTTAACTATATTATTTTGGATTTTTTTTAAATAATAAAAAAAACTTGAATTTATAATGCGTTGAAAATATTAATTTTTCAAAATATAATAAAATAAAATTTATAAAAGCAAAGCCAATTTCCTTTTAATTTAAAATGTTCAGAAATTTATCATTTAATACAATTCGGTGCAATATTTTTTTTATATAAATATTCATTTAAAGTTTCAACATAAACTACATTTTAACAGAACAAAATTAAAATAAATTCTATATAATTGGTATATATTTAGAAGGTTTACGATGGGAGATCAGTCCGCTTTTTTGTCCATTGACCAAACATATTCTACTTATTTTAAAAAATTGACAGATTGTGAATATTATGTGGAGAATTTTCTATGAAAATATTTTTTAGAAAGAAATCTTTTTTGAAACATTATTTACATTTATTAATCACGATGAATCACGGAAATATATAAAAAATAAAAAACAAACGTCATTTATTGTAAAAAATATTTTTGCTGCATTTAATAGAACTAATTAAAATTATGTACTCGCAATAAAGTACCTCTAATCGATTTGCATTCAAACTTAATTGGAGAAATAATGAGCTGGGGAAAACTTCTATTTGAATGCAGTCATAAAAAAAGTGTTAGCATTAGCTAATTAAAATACAATTCAATTGAATTGTAGGATTCCGATTTCAAAGAAATCATTATTTTCTCATTACCAGTAAGTGATAGATATTAAGTACATATTACAGTTCTAGTTAAATTCAGCGGTTAGCAAGCAGCAAAATCGTGCGGCTCTTTTGATGAGAAATTGCGGCTCCCAGTTCCTATAGCAGGAGTTAAGGCTATATTGAAATTCTTTTGAGAAGTAAAAATAGCGATTAGAAAATTTTCCGAGACTGGTTTAATTTATGTAATTACTATTTACATTTTGAGTTTAGAGAATTTTTGGATGCAATTAGTAATCTAATAATAATGAATATATATTTATTAATATTCTATACACAAATACACTATTTGATCTTAACTAAATCACTCGAAAAAAGCGCTAATTATATATTTTTTTAAATATTTTGTATACAATTATTTTGTCCATAAAGTTATGTTTGAAACGTACCTTAGTCTCTCGATTTAATGAACCATATCTTCCATCTGGTGCCAGGAAAATAGTGTAGTTGAAACCCAAGATGCGAGAAATTTCGTGTATTAAATCCACAGCATATCCTTCGAATTGAGCGTTTCCTGTTAACTTCTCGGATGAATCCTTTCTCATGCAGTAGGGTGAACTCTATTAAACCACACCAGTTGACGTTAAACAAAAAAATGTAATCAAAAACAAAAGAAACATCGTTTTTGTCTTCCTTATTTGAGAGCAATGGAGCATTGCACTTTATACACCCCATACAAATCGGTAGTAGAAGTCGGTTCGAAATAACACTGTTTGGCGATTATTTCAACTGTTAGAGCGGAAATGATCGCTCGACCCGAATGGACGCATTTGCGAAAGGACTGTAGAATTTTAATTTCAATCGTAAAAATTAACAATTTTTTTATCCGTTTACGATCACAAACACGTACTTTAAAATAAATCGTGCAAGACGAAAATCTATTGTTTGAGATTTTAATAGAAGACGCTGAAGGATTCTTACCAGGATCGTCGTGACGACAAAAGTTTTATTTTGGATGATTTCCACGATTTGGGTGTAAGCCTCGCCATAAGTTCTTGTGAAGTTCACCCCTTCGGTGGAGTTCCATGTGCCAATCTTCTTTAATCCGTCCCTACTCAATTCAATTATATCTAAAGCGAAATCACTGCGGAAACCTTGATGATCAAACTTTATCACGCCGGTTAAACCTCGCATTTCCACCTACGAAAAGAAACAAAATGTAATTTATCAAAACACTCACTAAAAATGAGAATTGAATACACATAGTATACATAGTTAAACAACAAATAGATAAACGACAATATTTTTTATGTTGAAGCAAACTTATATAATCATTTATTTATTTATTATTTTATTTCTAAATTATGAATACTACAATAAGAAATTGACATAAAGATTAGTAATTATATTAGTTTTTCAATTAGTTAAATGATCTTTAAAAAATTAACAAAGTTTATTAGAAAGAAAACTATTTCCTTGTTAACAATTATATTATTTATTTTTCACTTATGAATGTTGTTTTAATTCTTTATTTCAAAATTATAAAATAATTTAGTATTTAATCATTAAATGTAATTCGAAATTTTCATTATTATTTAACAAAGGTAGTTCAGATTATCTTATTCAAAATATGTCAAAATACTCCATATCTTAATTTTAGGTATAAATTTAAATCTTTGAAAAACGAATATTTACTCAAATTTTTTATTGCAAAAATAAAACACATTGTAAATAAATTTAATGTACTGAAAATAAAATAAACTTTAACAAGATACATATCTTCTTGTTAAATATAATAATATTTCTAAAAAAATTTAAAGAAAATTAATTATTATTTATTTATATAATATATATTCCAACTTTCATTTGTAACACAAAGATTGTTAAAAGTAATTTGCTAAAGACGTTTGTAATAATATAAATAATCTAATTTCGAATTACATAACTGAGCGTCTCAACTGCGGCTGAAACTAGTTTAGGAGATGGGATATTTAGTCGATTGTAGGGGGTTGATGGTATACGGCACAACGTGTACAGCGTACAAACCGTGAGATGATTGTGGTGATGCTTGAAGTCGATGGTTAGTTTGGAGTACGGAAAACAATACTAAATATCAACGATTATTAAACTGAACCGACACCGGACTACCCCAAAACAGGAATCGAGTATTGTCATAGATGAAACGATAATACACAGTTACCGCAAACAAAATACTACTCTGTTATGATATCTCCGTGATTATATAAGTACTACAGATAATTGCTCTGTACTATTTAATTTGTATGTTTAATTTATACATAAGTTGCTTTATTATTTTTATATATCTTGATTAAGATACATACAAAAATATGTACATACAAAAGGGACAACAAATTTATAAACTAGGATGAAAATTAAATTTTCTAGAATTCAAAATATAAGCTTGAAATCCCATAAAACCTGACTCATACTCAGTGAAACGGCGCAAACGAATATGTTTTATATAACCAAATTACTCGAGATGTATATAATATTCATACCGGATGTATATGTGTATACACTGTAAAGCAGTGTAGCATGCATATTCTTTCAAGTATTTCAGCTTGAACACAATTATATGTAATTATATGTAAACAAAAATACAGCTATATTTCCAAAAACAAAAATATTTATAAACATTTTTTCATATAAGAACATAATAATGAAGTTTAATGTGGATGTAAGGATTGAAAATAAAAAAAAATAATATTCTTTTTTCTGCTCATTAAAATATAATATCATATCTAGTCTTAATATATTAAATATATAGTGAGAATAACATGTGATATTTAATTTGGACAATATTTCTTTTCGTAGCCTTTTTTAATGTCCTGCAATAAAGCAGATTTTCCTTATGAATAAATACATAATTATTTTATTTAAGAATATTTTGTTCCATTGCATACATTCATAAGTAAGATTATTTATTGGAATGTTTATAAATACACATAAAAGCAAATATTACTTGGGAAATACAAATATAAACAAGATATGAGTCATATTTTGCTATTCAATTTCTATTTTTCAAACTAGATAAAATAACCCAGTGAAAAAAAAAATACTGAAGTCGTCGCAGATGTAAATAGATATTTTGTATAATTTCATTACATGAAAGTTCTTTAAGAATGTTCACTAAATATATTCACTTGAAAGAAAATAACTAAATATTATTTTGTCTCAAAATAAATATGATTTATGTATGAAACTTTCTGATCTTCTTTCGTCATTATGTTTTAAACAAATATACTGATATTTAGATCTTCATTTTTAGTATTTTACTGTTTTTAGTATTTATATTATATAAATATAATATCTAAGAATAAGTCTACTCACATTCAGTGCTTGTTGGTTTTATGGAGGGCTATGTATTATATAGAACAGTGGTGGCCAAACTTTTGATAACTACGGGCGACCTATTTTTTTAATTATAGGCGGCGGTCTATCAACATCTTATGTGTTAAGTGATCATAAGAAAAGTAGAAATTTAAAGCCAAAAAATATGTTCAAATTTAAAATAAATAAAGTATATATCAGACAGGGCGACACTTTAGCCACCCCTGATATAGAAGATCTAAATTACTGGTTATGTTGCCAGTTTCTTCATTGCCCATTTATACGTGTATATTAATACATCATGATCAAAAAAATCTCTAAATAAATTAAATTAAATCTATTATATTAATTATATGAGAATATGTAATTTGATCATTAAATGACAATTGCAAACAAGTCAAGGACATATTTATGTATAGTGTAGTACAGCAAAATAGAAATGATATGGAAGGAAATAGAGGAAATTCAAGTGCAGATGCAATAACATGTTTTGGACTTTTGCCCTGAGAGTTACTACTGGCAATTCCCATTTCCTAGGAGTGGCCAAGATATAATAATTAATGTCCGGTCCATAGACTTACGATTTTCATGTAATTGATGAGACTGTATCCATGTGGCCAGGTATCGACAGCGTCGCAGCTGAGAGGTTTGATGTCAATTTGCTGGCTGGTGTCCAAATCGTGCAGGGCCTTGGCGAATAAGTGAACGGCGTCGTACATTAGAGCCGTTTCCGCCTGCGGAAATGGAAAGAACCCCGAAAAGAACAGGATCAAAAAAGAAGTGTACCAAAAAATAACAGAGTAAAGTGTAACCCCAATTAACTATGAGCTTGCGCGTCGGACAAATAAATCTATTAACGAAGAATAACACAGCAGCCTCGGAACAACAGCCCATGTAATTAATTCCACCCAAATGCACGAAAGCGGGTAGCGAGGAACACAAAAAAAATATTTAACACAACGTTGAACTAACTAACCCCTAATTGTGTAACAAGGTAGACACAAAGGGGGAAAAAATATTTGCCATAATCTCGTGATTCCTCGTTCTATTTACTTTATTTTTGTTCTCGCTATTTTCGTTATCTGATAGGTGGAAATTAAACTGTTTAAATAACAGTTAAATTTCCACCTTCCCCACTACTTCGTTAGTTATCAAGCTTTTGTTTTTTTAAACAAAACAAAAACAGAAATATTGCGAGCACCGCTTTTTAATTATCTTTAATACATTTTTATACCCTTCACCTTTTAGACAGTATTTACAAATCTTAAGGTTCATTATGTTTCACAATATTTACAATGTGTTTAATAATAATAATTTCAACATATACATTATTATTTTTTATATGCATTCAAGAAAAAATTTACGTTACTTAACTATTTTCGATTTTTAATAACAAAATAATTTCATCAAATATAAATATTTTTATATTTATTATGAACGTACATGAACGTACATTTTGTAATCGAAATCTTACGATGTAAGATTTAAATTACCAAATAAAATACAAAAATACGTTGCATAGTCCGGCTTTGATCAGTCCGGATTCACTATAGTCTGATTTGAAAATTTCAAAACAAACTAAATTTTAATTGAGCAAAATAAAAATAATTTCTCAAAAATTGTACACATAATTTGTTGTTGTACTTAATTGAATTTTTTATGCGATTTTAGTGTTAGCGTTAGTCCCGTTTAGAACATATTGGCAGAACAGATCTCTCAACTTAGTTGTGATTGATATCATTGCAGGAATATTTGTTTGTTAATTCGGAAGATCAAAAATAATCATGTGCGTATTATCAAACAGAACTTAAAGTACTTTAAAAAAATCAATAATATTTGATAATAGTTTAAATAATTAATTTTATTAAAAAAAGAATAAATTCCAAAATATGATTATCAACTAAAAATTAATTTGATGCGGAATTGCTTTTATAATTAAATAACATTGATTTTCTGTCAGTGTTTTCGACAGGTCGGAATAGAAATAATTTATTTATATTCTGTATAGAAAGTTTTGATTCCCTGTAGTACAAGTAAAGGCAATGCCGGTAATGGCATGACTAATTACAATCAATATTTAAGCAATTTTGGCAAACGGAGTGGCAATTTAATATATTCTTTGATATATATAATTTTAATATATGTAATCAAATGTACATATCTATTTATTGTATCTATTTATTGTATCTTATTCATTACTTTTATAGATAATACGGTAATAAGTAAGAAATAATAATTGGGATTCCATTTAAAATGGTACGAATTAATCCAATATGTACTAATTATATTCCGTATTAACCTAATTTGTACTTATTCTGAGATTCTTCTAACGCGGTATCGATAAATCATCAGTGTTAAGTAAGTAAATTTCTATATAATAGCATATTTTAATAGTAGGTGTTAATTTATTACAAGAGAGTAAAATTTCTGAAATAATCGTTATATATTAATAGATGCAAATTGTTTATGCAATTATTGCATTTAGTGCTCGTAAAGCAAAGAACAACTAATTAAAGCTAATGGACTAAAAACATATATAATAGTAATTATTGTTGGTAATTAACGCTAGATTTATGGAACACGTTAATTTGATGAATTAAAGTTACTGGTTTGCTAGTTTCACCTTTAAATGTAGTAAATAGTCTTCATTTGTTAAATATTTATATTTTAAATTAAATTCAACACTCTATTCTTGAGTTTTTTTTTTTTAAGAAGTACTTAATATAAACATTAAATTTTATTAATAATTTGATACAGTCAAAAATTTAATGCAAAAATTTTGTTTATAGCAAAAAAGGACATAAAAATATTTTTAAAATAATTTTTTTCATGAAAAATATCAATACTAAAAATAGGTACGCGACAGATCGGCGACGGACAAGTGGGATACTCAAAAAATATTATTAAGAAACTCACTTATAATTATTATTATATTAATTATAACAAGTTATTGGGTAAAAAATATAATATAACATAAAAACTAAATTAAAATATATAGAAAAACCTAGGTTTATTATTAATGTATTTGTTTTCGTTGACTTATAATAAACATTAAAATTAAAAAATAATCTAATATATAATAAGATTATTAATTGTTCTTATTAATTATTAATAACAATAAATTATTATTGTATTTGTTTTCAATGACTTAAATTTTATAATGAATAAGTCAACGAAAACAAATACAATAATAATTATTATTATTTATTGTTATTAATACTAAATTGGTTTGTATGTTATATTATTTTTTTACTAAAAAATTATTATTATTATGTATTTACTTATATTTTTATAAAAACACTGTTTTCTTTAAATTTTATTAATTAATTAATATTTTTTTATTTTTTTTTATATTATATTTCTTGGCCAATAAATAATTATTACTACAATAATATTTATTGAGTATTCTACTTGACCGACGCCGAGTTGACAGGTGCGCAGTTGACCGTCGCCGACTTGACCATCGCCGATTTGTCCGTCGCCGAGCTGTTGCGTACCCGAGTGACCCACCTGATATTTGTTTTCATTCGAATTCTATTGTAATTTAATGAAAACTGGGTGTTGGCCTTATAGCTATTAGAGTATGTTCTAGTTCAGTGGTACCCAACATATCTTTTTTTTTCATTTTATTTACTGCAGTGTATTTCTCTCAGGTTTTTGCGACTTTCCATGGACGAGATGCAATTTTCGCATTATTGAGTTGCGTTTTTATAAAGGCCCAATGTAAATACTATTTCATATTTAGAATCTAATTTTTAAAAAGTCCTTGTAGTGGTCCGTTGTAGCGGGATTAAAATGTTTGAGTTTAGTGGTCCGCGAGATTCAATATTTTGAGTTTAGTGGTCCGTGAGGTCAAAAAGGTTGGGGACCGCTGTTCTAGTGCACTTTTCAGAAGGAGCAAAATAGTCGCGGCAAGAGGTACTTAATATCATCAATATTTAGATTTCAAAGTCGAATAACTTTGGTTTTCCATATACCGAAATGGTGAAGATCAGTAATTCTGATATACACACTAATACTGTAAATGAAAATATAAAATAAACTGACATCATACATTTATAATGTTATATTGTATAATGTGACTCAAGCACTAGATAAAAAATCTAACAATATCTTTATTTCATTGTATATTAAATATCGTTGGTATCTATAATATAGTTATAAGTGAATCTTCATAAATTGGCTATTCTTTCAAAAAACAGGTAGAACCTGCGTTGTGTGAATCGAATGTGCAACGAAAAGAATCTCGGAAATCTTAGAATTCTCATTGCAAATATCATGCATGGATGGAATCGTACATCGTAAAGGAAGTGGTATTTTTTTTTGTCCAAGCAAGAGCGACAAGACAACCGCAAAGTTTTATCACATATGCCAAGATACCAATTTGTTCATTTTTAAGATATATTTTACATTGTACATATTTTCCCAAATGCATACAAAGCAATAATTTATTAATAATAAAATGGAACAAAAATTAATAATTCTGTCTACAACAAAACATAACACATGCTCGAAATGAAGTATGATTCGTTTTCAACGAAAAAGAAGACTTCTATGAGATCTTCTTTATTTCATATTTGTGTACTTCTTGTAGTCTTTATTTGAAATAATAACATCTTCGTTTTCATCACCACTCTCAATTACAACATCTTCAATATGTGAAATATCAATATTTTTATATGAAATTAAGTGGGTTATCGTATTTTTGTTTATATTAGTTTTAATAACTTAGCTAAAATATTGTTTTGTGTAAATTATTTTTTTTATTACATTGACATAAACTAAAATTGATGTCAAATTTACATCAAATTCAACGTCAAAATACACAGAAAAGTACGATAAGATAATTATGAAATTGTAAATTAGTGAGCATATTTACTAAATTTATTAATTAGCTTATTTATAAATGATAATAAATCTTTTAATTAATAAGGTAATAAAGTAATATGATTAAACGCAAAGTAAATATTGTGAGTGCACATACTATTAAATAATATTGCAGGTGTGAGAGAAAACATGCTACACTTTTCCTTCTGTATTGTGTAACAGTGTAACGGCTTTATTTCTGTTTTTGCAGTGTTCGGTCCCGGTTCCGATAAAATGTTTAATTAAAATAGCGGGTTCCAAGTTTACCTTCACGAACGTATTGTTATCCTGCGCACACAATCCCAAGCAGCACAAACAAGTTTACATTTGAGAATTGTTGCATACACCGAATGTAGATGAAATAAAATTTAACAGCGCCGTTCCTTCCGGATATTAGCAAGGCAATATCAAGTGCATCCCTTATTAAATGCATCGCCGAAAGCTGAGCAGAAAATAAACAAATCCTGCATTGAAATGCTCCCTCACCAAATTGCTATCCGTTTTCCTGCCTCTGGTATCGGTCATGCTCCAATCTCTGACAATCCGCTTTACATCCGGCCCTTCTGGATCCACTAATCGGAACGCTGTAATATTTGTTCCACCGTACTTGAACTCCTCCAAATCGACTCCGTGCAGATCCTGCAACATCATATCCTCTTAAATCTCCTATAGTACATGTTTAGTTCCGCGAATTTGATTATTTTCGGTAAACCAAAACCTAAATTTCCTATTTATTTAGAAGATTTTTAGTGTCAATTTACATATATTTCAGTAGCGGGTCATACATAAGGGCTACAAATCTGAAGCCCTTCCTGTTAAAAATATAATATTCATAATTTCATTTTTTTTTAAATATTTCTAAAATACGTTGTTAATACAATTCACAACGATACCTCGTATTGTGCGGCATTAATCAGTCCGGATTCACTATAGATCGCATTTTTCTTTCATATTTTTTTCCGCTTTACACAGTCAAGTGTGTTTTTGTTTATTTTTCTATATATTTAGTACATCGTCAAATATGGTTTCAAACCGATTACACGGACTATTCGAAGTATTACTCTATTCCAGGATTTCCCAAACTAATGTTCTGCGAATAATAGGTGTTTCATGAAAACTTGGAATGAAATAATTACTAAATAAGTAATAAATGTTTTTTTCTCATTTTTTAAAAATGTATTGATTATGTGTTCTTACCTACCCTATAAAATATATAAAGTGTTCCGTAAAAAAATCAGAGTATTCCAATAAGGCAAATGTTTGGAAACCCTGTTCTATTTCATAGCGTAGCAACAGTTATATTTTGCAATAATCAATGCATTGTGCATGGAAAAATTAGTATCAGTACTGACTAGTGAAGCTGGGACTACATTCAATTCAGACTTCAATAAACCGTATAATCCATACAAAGGTACAAACTACTTAATGGGAATTTTGTAGTGGAGGTTACACAAAAGGTTTCAAACATTATTGGCTGGTATCATTGCAGCTCAATTTTTTTTTCTGCATGATCATCACTACTGGTCTAATTTAAATTTGTTGCTTTGTGTCAAATGGAGGTTGACTGGTTCAAAGAATCGTGACGAAGCAGGGGACGAATGGATATAAATAAAGTTATTTCGCGCAGCAAATTGACTTATCTCGAAGTTATGAAAACTCTAAATAAGGCCGCCCTTTATTCGGTTGCCCTTTTTTGCGACTCCATGCGATAAATCACATTCTATGTACTTACGAAACTCCATTATTATTTAATCTCAAAATTACAATTTTTATTTACCACTTTTTGTCTCTATTTGAAGATAATTATATAAATATAAATAATATTTATTATAGCACATAAAATAATAATAATAAATTTAATTTCAGAATAAAAATGTATAAAACTTCAAATTAAATAAATAACAATAAACTATATGTTTATTATAAATTAAAATTATTATTATTTATTAAAAAACTATATAAATATTTATTAAAAATAATATGAAGTTTGAAAAATATATATATAAAATCCCTTCTATCCTTTCCAGATGAAATCTCCTACTCTCTGTTCATCATAACCAAGTCACAAGTATTTTATTACCTATATTCTTATGTTAAACCCATACGAATTTATTTTGCTTTTGTTTCATTTTGATTTTATAAAGGAAACAATAGTCTTTTTTTACCTCCATAGTCCCATGGAGGTAAAAAAAGACTATAAATAAAACGAAAAAAAAATAATATTTGCACTGTCAAATATATTATGTTATGTAGATTAAAAAAAACAGTTTTTTCAATATTTACATTACGTGTAAATAAAACAGTTGATCTTTTTTATTTTAGTAATTATATGAATATGTTTTAATTTTTATTTTTTTATAAACTGTGACTGTTATAATAAATACTGTTATTATGACAACAATATTTGAAAATGTTATATGACTTAAGTGACTTGCATTTTTATATTATTCAGTATGATAATGCTAAACCACTTTGCAGTGTTCATGATGAGGAAGTTGTTCACCCTGGTACTGAAAATGGGTGGAACATAAGAATGTTGTCAACCACCAAACAACCCCGATTTCAATGTCCTCAATTTGGGAACTCATTGCAACCGTGTATAAAGCATGGGACAAAATAACCACGAAAAAACTAAACAGAGTTTTCATTATATTGCAGAAATATATGGAAGTATACACGTTACATATACCTTTGCATATTTTTTTTATGATATTGGACAGTTATTTTGGAACAAATCAAATTCCTAAATCGGACACTTTCTTTGGAACTTCTGAATTGCTTCCACGGTATTTCCTAGTTTTAATTTCCCTAGATACTTTTTAAAGTGAACCCGCAAAGAAGAAAAAGAACGAAAACCATTAAGTTTGAAGTTAAAAAATTCAGTGGAGGACGCGAAATTAGTCAAGGACATATGCAAATTATATAGCGCTTGTCGGGAGTGTCAACAGATCCTATATTCGGCCGACACATTCAGCCCGCATAACGGATTTTCCGGTTCCTCCACATATTTTTACGAGTTTGCATAGGAAATTGCATAGTATAAATTTTAACTAAAATATAAACTGCAGAAGGGACCCGGCCTCCGCCCTGGGAATGTGGAGAATTATCGTGTTGACATAATTATCTTTAATAATGGAACTCCATTGTTTGCCCATTCAGGATTAAATTTTCCCATGTATGTGTATTAGGATAGTCCTTATCTTCCAATTTTCTATTTTTGTCGGTTTGGTTTGCTTCCCTTAAATTATTTATGATGGTCGTAAAATCTGCTGCATTATAAAGCATTACACTTAAATTTTACATCGCAATTATTTCGTAAATTCAACTTATCACAATAAATTTAATAATTAATTGAATTAATTTAATTTGCTTCCCATTGCTTATGTTCTTTACAAAAATCTATAAATTGCAGTTATTTCATTATTCAGTATCAATTTCATGAAAAAATGTCAAATATGTCATATTCACTTACCAAAGATGTTATTAGGTAACTATGATAATCGCTCATCATACCAATCTGCTGTGCTTGCTTAAGAACGTCGTAGATCCTTTCAGTGGAACAGTCGAGGACGATGTGCGATTCAGCAGAATTCTTTATTTGTTTCAGCAAAGGTCTAGAAACATAAATCATACGAAAACATTATTGTACAGTTTTTATTATATATATTTGCATAATTATTGAAAAACAAATTATTAATTATTTTTCGATTTGGAAATTGATTTCTAAGTATACATCATAACTTACAATTTTTGCATACATATACTAATAACTTATATATCAATTTGAGATGAATGTACGTGAAAATAGTATTATAATAAATTTGGAGGTCATTGAAATAGATTACAGGAATATAAATAAAATTGCTGTGGCAGCTGCATTTTTAGTGACTAGAATAGATTATTTTCTTATGATGCTTAATGATCAAATCACTTAGCGAATTTTTTCTTGCTATAGTACTTTTATTGAGTTTATATTACTTTTCGCGTTCGTTTTATTCTATGAATACAAACATTTTTGTTATTAGTAAAATGATAATTGGTTTCTTCTTACTTCCATATGAATAAATCAATCATAAAATCTATATATTGAGTTGTCCTAAAAGTTCTTTCTAAATTTTCTCAATAATTAAAAATCTTTTTTTTATCTTTCACGCAATTTATACATTACATTATACCAGAATGTATATGGTTTGGGTGATTGTTTTGATATTTTTAATATAACTACAAATTCACGTGTGGTGCAGTTTGCTTATTCTCAAGCAATGTCTTGATTTCATCAACCTTTTTAATAATTCTGATGGTAGGAAAATTGGCACAAAAATCACTAAGTCTGTAATGATTAGAATACTTTGAAAATAACAAAATAAACATAAATTCTCAATAAATAGTACACAACATTATTTTCTTGATATTTAATTCATGTCAAACGTCTTTTGTGCGATTTACAATATTTGTGATGTAATTAGTTTCCTCCATTAGTCCAATTTCAACAAAATTTAAATATTAACAGAACCGATTACCCACAAAGATTCATGTAATTAGTTGTTATTTTATATAACTTATTGAAAAAAATGAAAATTTACAGAAAAGTTTAATTTAATTTCTTAAAGTCTCATGATTTATATAAATATACATCTAATTATAAAAGTATAATATAAATTATTCTATTCTTCAACAAATCTAAAGTATAAGAGGATAATAAAATGATAAATTAACAGAAAATGTATATCACACAGAAAAAAAAACAACTTTAAATGCACTTGTACCAATTAAAACTTGTCCGACATTTTCACCGAAGAAGTTATGTAAACAAGCAAAGTAAAGTGACGTTGTGTTAATTATGCATGAGATAATTAAATACAGACTTGTTGCAGTGTGCTAGATTTATCGAGACCGAATAAAAAATGCTATTGAAAAGGTCACGTACTCAATTATAAACATACAATTCCTCAAAACAATCTTCGATTAGTGCGGTTTCACTATAGTAAGGTTTGAATTTTCATAATAAATTGATTATTTTTGTGAGATGTTTATTTATTCATTCATTCAGGATTTGAAAAGTTCTAAATATAGTAAATTATAATTGGAAAAAAATAAATAAAAAAATTGTTTTAATGTACAGCTATTTTGTAATAAATATTTTAATAATTTTCTCAGCTAGTCCATTATATATTTATGCTTCCTAAAACGAGGAATAAGCAAAATAAAAAGATGTCTTAATTGAACTTAACACTTCGTTACTCGCGAATCCTCTCGTAGAATCGTTACTCGTATGGTGTCTGAGAAACTCCGATAAATATAACGTTAGTAATTAATTTATTTAATATTTTGCTGTTAATCCTTCAACGCGTTACTCTAAAATGGAGTGATGTGCTTTTACAAATCGTCAGTCAATATGAGGAAAGTACGTAGGTTTGTGTTGGTCCACTTTTCCAGTTTTTAAAGTTATCTCATATACGCCGCGCGACTAAGGAAGTATTTACAATGTGAATGCTCCGTCGATAGTCAATATATAAAGTTCGTACAGATATTTATGAGAGTCATAAATTATTATGTACGTATTATCGAACATACTTTAATATGTACGTTAAGTGAGCGCTGACTGTATTCATATATTCATAATGCAGATCCTTAGAACCAGTTGGGATCTGAAATATTCAGATCGGAAAAGACGTTAAGCCTCGGCTAACTAAACCTCCTCTGCCTACCGCTAGCACCGCCGTCCCTCGTGCGCCATTTAAGTTCTGCGGTGCAAACAAAAACCAGCTCGAAAGTAAGCGAATGATTCATTTTTGTTAAGTCCCTCTTAATCTCGTTATGCATGGCGAGAAGTTAAATATACACACCATGTAGCTTGCAATTTATTGCGGCCGCATGACTTGTGTAATATGGCAAATGTGCGCACGCGGGGCTGCTGAAAGTATGAGTGTGAAGGCTACACAAGCAGAGGACCGAGAGGGTGCGTTCGTATCGATTATTCCGCGTTATATAAACATCGTGCTCACCTCATCATTTTCTCGCCATGCAATTCCTATTACTTACGTATTAACTGAATTCTGTGTATCATATACACGTTACTTTTTCGATGCTATACGTAAATTAAATCCGAAATATTATAATTGGAATAAATGAAGAAACTGTATATTATTATATTATAAAAAAAATCTTTTTATAATTATATCAAATATTTAACTTATACACAAATTATATAAATAAATTTTCTATATCTCGAACCATCAGACTTACTGTCAGAATGGTTAGTATGGTTTGAATATTTTAGAAGAAACTGGATTTGAATTGAGCAAAATAAAATAAATTTTACAAAATTATTTTTATATACAAAAATGATCAGTTTTCACTTTATACAGTCAAATCTATTTTTGTGACTGACTGTTTACTTTTTCGATAAAATACCTTAAAAAATGGGGTATAATATTACCCCAATTTTTAATAGTCTACTATATGTAATCTATTACTAGAATATGACATAAAATAGTAATAGACATATATTCAGGATCAGTATTTTCATTAACAATTAATACGACAAATATGAATTTAATTTGTATCATCAAAAAAAAATTATCTCAGCTAATTCTAATTTCTCATAATTATAATGATGTGGATATTTTATAATGTATATGGTTGTTAAAATCTATCTGTAATATATTTGAAGAAATATTTTTTTGCTAGATTTAAATCGGTGTATATATGTTTGTCTATTTTAATGTGAAATATGTGTTGGAATTTAAATAAAATGTTATATAACATATATTCAATAAAAAATAGCATAGTTGATGAAATGGAATTGTTATTTTATTATTTGAAATGTCGAAAATTAATTTGATTACATAAATACTTTAATATGTAACATAGTTTTTACAGGAAATATTTCTGCATCATAAAATCATTATGAAATAGTTATATAAACACTTGTATTTTATTTTTATTATATTTTTTGTAAAAACATTTAACAAATATCTAACGACCGAGGTTTTTCCGCAATATTGTAATTATATATATTTTGATATTTTATTATGCAGAAATTGCTCGAATAGTGCGGTTTTGCCAATATCTCAGAATATATAATCTGGATTATTGTGAATCTGGACTGATCGCATTCACATTAGGCAAAGTATTGCTATTTACAATATTTTTAAATGTACTAAAAATGTATTCTAAGAATCATTGTACGTATTAAATAAATAATGTTAATCTTGATTAATGTCTAAATGATAATTAAAATTTATATAAATTTAATTACTATTTATATTTGAACATATTTAATTCCAAATTTAGATAAAAATGTTATATACTCTTTTATTTTATTTGAAAATATTTCATATTTAATATAATATTTATAAATTGGATAGAAATAATCATCTGATTATTTATAAATATATTGTTTATAATTTTCGCTGCCAACGCATATTTTCATTATTGTTATTTATAAAAATATATATGCATTTAATAAATATGTATCGACAACATGTCTTTCTGCCAACGTTTCATATTTTTATTTGATTTATGTTATCAATAAAATATGGTCAGTTTAAATTTCAATAAAATTGTTGATTCATAAAACAATATACAGTAGAACCTGTATTTGTCCGGTTCTTTTTTATGCGATTTTTTTATACGATATATGAAATCCAACCAATTCCAACGGCGTTGGCACCATTGCAATATTTTCTATCAGTGTGCATGTACAGCCTGCTCAAACGATTTTGAAACAATTTATCAAAAGACGATGTGTGTTTTGATTAACACGAGTAGCAGTGAATTATGTATGTACATTTTGAAAATTTCTCCATATGCACAATGAGAAATTAAATGTTTTTGAAATGTTTCCATGTGTAATTTCATTTAGTTTGGATGCACTTTCTCTTTGACGTATTTCTAAGTGCTAAAAGTTTCTTTAATCTATTATACAAATTTATTTATTATATGTACGCATTTATGAAAATTTAGATAAATAATTAAATTATTTCCATTTCTATTTTTTTTTTTCAATAGAATTTCTTTTATTGATGGCAATTTATTTTGGATTATATTTTTTTATTATTTCATTGTTAGTCATTTTCCTTTTTACATGGTTTATATTTCATTATTTTGTCTTATTTAATTGTATTTTTTGGATATAATTTTGATTTGCCAATTGTTGGATCTGCTAATTAAATAAAAATAAGTGTTGCATAGGATTTAACAAATTTGACTCAAAAATATATTAAAGCTGGTGCAAATAACACTATTATTATAATAAGATCTAAATTACTAATAAATTGAAAGCAACGAATATTGAAAGATAATAAAAGAAATCGCACATCAAAGGGATTATTGACGTCCATTTTGCTACAAATTTATTATCGAAACTACAAAGAGAAGCTTAATATGTGAAATAATTCATTAAAATTTCAGTATAGATATTATATTATTGGATTTATAATTATGTAACTCCAGCAACAACTATAAGCTGATTATTTTATTAATTGTCAATCGTGAATGAATTTACTGAATGTTCAAATATAATACAATAAACAAGACCGGAAAGCTTAGTTTAAAAATGTTAAAAGTAATTAAATTTTATCTGAGCAAAATAAAAATAAATACTACAAAT